GGGGGGGGGGGGGGGGGGGGGGGGGGGGGGGGGCGACCATCATGGAGGCGCGTTCCACTCTTGGGCCAAATCAGGGGTAAGGGAATTGTTCGTGATGAGAGGGACGAAGAGCAAGAAGTCGGCAGGGTTTCACCCCCGCAGTCGGACGTGGAAGAAAGGAGAATGGCGGATGCACGGCATGGACTTCGTAAGACCGTGCGTGAATCCGCACGTCTTATTCGCGGCGACAAAGGCGGATCGCATCGTCCCTCCCATCCCGAGCTCCCATCCATCGAACGATTTCCCGCGGTGATCGCCTGCCGCCGCGACCGGACCGCGAATCCCCGGGACCCCCGCGACCTCCCCATCCTCCAGACGTTAGAAAAACGATTAAAATTCTGAAATTCGGAAGAAACGAGTCAAACGCTAAACCGTTCGTGGATGGCAGGACATCCGGAGCCGACCGGATCCATCGGCTTCATCTACACGGCATCCATTTTTTGAGGGAAGGTATCTTGGCACTCAAAACTAAATTATTTATCATATCCAAGCCGTGGGCAAGGAAATCGCACTAATATATTATTTATGCATTCCTGGGTCTGTCTGTACAAACATACGAGCATATTCCCCCCGTACGTATGCAAATATTATGCGTAACGGCATGTTTGCAGATTCATGAATTTTTGCATCGTCTTCGGCGCTTTCATCTGACGAGAGAACGCGGACGTCTGCGATCGCGGAGATACTCGCGGAGAACTTCGCAAGTTCCACGCGAATGCCCAATTTTTGGACTTGGTCCATTTTCTTCAAGTTGGGGAGACTGGGGTCCAGTGGGACAATTTCTTGGAAATTGTGAAAAAAAAAAGTATCTATCACACAAAGTTTTGGGAATCCAATTAGTCCTTCCTTCCATTTGCCCTGCTTTCAATATGCAAACACTAGAATGTGCTTTTCGATTTTAATTATTATTGCTTACATTCAGAATTGAATTGTTCATTCAATTCTGAATGTTCATTCCTCATTCACTTCTTTTCCTCGACTACGGATGGAGCTGCCCCTAAAAATATTTTTTCTGGGGTGTCTGTTGCTATTCATGATCCGCCAATAACTTTCCTCCTCCTCTTTCTACATTCTAGCGAATTTTGCAATACCCAAATGAGGAAAATGAACGAATCTGACCGCATGTGGCACAGAAAGGCAATCGGGGTTTGGACCCGGTCCACCCCACGACCGACTTGCACTTTACCTCGAGCAACCATTTTTTATGAATTAAAATTTTTCTGGGCGAGAATCCCTCAAGCAACCAAACAAAAAAAAAACCTAATCACTAATCTTGGATAGACCCTTACGAAAATGTCTTATAGGATTCCTATATATTCCTTTAGGAATATACAGGTATAGGATTCCTATAAGAATCCTATAGGAACCTAAAGGAATCCTATAGGATCCTATATGCCCCATAGAGTTCAGTTTGGGACCTATAGAGTTCCCTATAGAACACATACAGTAGATGCCCCTATAGAACCTATGGAGTTCCCTATAGAACCAATAGGGTTCCTCATAAGGCCTATAGGTTCCCTATAGGGCACAAAGGGTTTGGTATAGGACCCGTAGGGTTCCCTATAAAACTTATAGGGTTCCCTATAGGACCTGTAGGGTTCGCTATAGGACCTATAGGATTCTCTATAGGACCTGTAGGGTTCCCTATAGTGCCTATACGGAACCCTATAGGATCTATAGGATCTATAGGGTTCCCTATAGGTCTTATACAGAATCCTATAGGCCTATAGGGTTCGGTTTGAGGTTCTCCTCTAGGCCACTATATGGAAGTATTGGGTTGTCACATTTCTGAAAGGGCACAAAAGTGCCCTCCCCTTACCCAAGGAATCATCTCTCACAAGAGAGTTTTGTACGTCCCCAAATGTCTCGCCTTGCCTCATTGTAGCAATCAATAAACTTCGACAGTTCCTTATTTGTCATCCCCATCTTCCAGATAGAATCATGGAGTCCCNAGTTGCTTATTTGTCATCCCCATCTTCCAGATAGAATCATGGAGTCCCGTGAAGAAATATGCCCTCATTCCTTTTGAAACCCACGTACGAAACTCTATCCAAAAGGAGTTTCAGTAAAAAGACGTGCTCGCAGGTTCTGTCTTCTATTTCCTCAGGTCGAGAGAATACTACTTCTTCCTACCGGAGGTAGTAGACGTGCAACCCAGCGACACATGTGCAGCAGGGCCATAAATTATGCAGACCCCCGCATGACTGATATTAATAATGCATGTGTCCCTACCATGGAGAAGCCCCTAATCGGTTTTTGATTTACACCGAAATGCTGCACCATTATTAACCCCGGTCGCCTTTTCCGTCGTAATGCATGGGTTTCGAAGCCAAAATATCTTCCCGGAATCCTATAGGTCAGGAGTCCTATAAGACCCTATAGGGATCCTATAGGATCCTAAAGGATCCTATAGGTTTTTCCTGTTTCAAAAACCTATAGGAAAGTCTATAGGTTTCCTATAGGACATTTCCGTAAGGGGAACCACAGTGCTGCCGATTAAATGAATCATGTGATTTTAGAAAACACTTTTTTGGTTCGGGTCAATTATTCTAGAATGCAATATGAGGAAGAGAATTGGAATATCACTATGTCCACCATAGCTGCGCGACTGAAACAGAAAAATGACAAATGAGAAGGGTGATATGACGCCTATTGCCGTAGATTTCCATGCATCTCCATCTATTTTGAGGCAATAAATGGCCAGTGTCCTAAAGTACTCCAGTCTCCCGTACCGTTTTTGTACCTGGTCGGTCGGAGACTCTCCTAACAAGGAAAACGCAAAGTTTCTCAATCACGAGTATATTTATTTAAGTTGAGACAAACGAGACGAAACCGCTTCCACCCCAAGAACTCCGCATCGACACGATCGGCAGCCTCGAAAAGTTTCTTTCTAAGATTCGAAAAGTTTGAGACTCGTTCCATACGAACGCCCTCCCATCGAAGTCTGGAGGAGACGCTTGCTCCTCTCGATTAATGAGGAGGATTCCATTTCTTCCAGCCAGTGAAGACGCTTTTTCGCGACGAGATCCCAGCAATTCTTTAAAGGGGAGAGCCTCGTTTGCATGAAGGAGACGGCTAACGCAGTGGCGAGCTCGGAGTCCCCGAGCTACGTCTCTTCTCTTTCCTTCTGCAATTCTTCTTCATGCACACCAAGCCGCCTCGCTGGAGTCACTCGGGGGAATGCACCTGGGTGCGACCGTGGTCGGCAGGGAGAAGCGGAGTGCATCCCCTTCCACCGTCGCCTCGATGACGTAGGACAGAGCGATGGAGGCGACGCTCCCGGGCGGTAAGCTCCCGAGTCGGTCCAGTAGGACGTCCGGTTTGGTGTCTTCTGCGAGAGACGCGGACTAGCCTCGTTCGATCGAGCGGCGGTAGATCTCTCGCGCTTCTTCCATATCTCTCGCTTCTCCCTTCGCCTTTCTTCCCTCGATCTCGGCCTCGAATGCTTCCTGCGAGAGACGTACTCGTTTTTAGCGGTGACGGCGATTCGATGAGTCGGGGTTATTGAGGGATAGAATTTGACTCATCCTCTTGAGGCTAACCCATACTTGCAGAGGGCAAGGAGAGAATAGAGAGTACTAACCCGTTCGAGGAAAGGAGGACATCTGGAGTCGAGCTCATTCATCGGGTTCATCAACATGACACCCATTTTTAGGGGGAACTTATTTTGGCGTTCTATTTTAAATTATATCTCATATCCGTGAGCAAGAAAATCACGTTAATGCAATATTTACGCACGTTTCGTTATCTGTACTTTCACACTGATATATTCCCCTCTTATGTATGCAAATATAATGTGTAATTGCATGAAGGTATATACGAGCTGTGTATATTTGTATACATATGTGCTTGTGTGTATGCATATTTATGAATTTCTCTACATTTTTCGGACATCGTATTCGCATTATAATTCCACGAGAAAACGTATAAGTCTGCCTCTTGCTATCACGGAGATTCTCGTGGGGACCTTTGCTAGTCCAACACAGTTGTCCAGTTGGGTCTTATTCATGTGTCCATACTCTTTAAATATCATTTTTGTATCTGGTCGGTCGAAGCATCTTTTTCACGAAGGAGAACGCAATGTCGTCCCAATCACGATAATATTTATTTATTTCAGACACGACTTAAAACGCGACTGCTTCCACCTGAAACTCTCCCCTCGACACGATCGGCAGCCTTGAAAGGCCCGTTCTAAGGTTCGAAAGGTTCCAGACTCGTACTAGAAGGGCCCCCTCCCATCGAAGTCTGGAGGAGACGCTTGCTCCTCTCGATTAATGAGGAGGATTCCATTTCTTCCAGCCAGAGAAGACTCTTTTTCGCGACGAGCTCCCAGCGATTCTCTAAAGGGGAGAGCCTCGTTTGCATGAAGGACACGGCCAACGCAGTGGCGAGCTCGGAGTCCCCAAGCTGCGTCTCTTCTCTTTCCTTCCACACTTCCTCTTCGTGCAGACGGAGGAGGGTCAGAAGTTCCTGGTTCAGCGGGAAGGAGCCGTCGAAGCGTTGGAGACTGGCGAGTGCCTTCAATCTGTCTTCGTCGGTCTCCTCGTCGAAGGTGATTATCACGGGGATTTCTGGGCGTGATCGAAGGAAAGGGCTGCGTTCCGTGGGTTCCGCTGCGGGGTCCTCGCAGGCGTCTCGGTTCGGCGATGAGACTTCGTGTCGACGAGTCATCTTCCTCCATAGCCATCGGCACAGGTATATGGGAAGGAATATGGGGAAACATATGAAGCAAGCGAGAACTTCAAGGAGGTATTTTTTCCCGAATCCTCGAATCGAGTGATTCTTACATCTCCCGGTGTCTCTGTCAAAACTCGCGAGCGTCATTCCGGACTCGCCCAACGAGTGACACCCGAACGGAATCGTGTTCGAACCGGTTACGAAAATGGGTTTCTTCGCCTGTATCTCCCCATCGTCATCGACGGCGACGAACGACGTGACTCTGGATGCCAAATTGTATTTCGTTCCCAGCTCGACCGCCCTTCCATGCACGCGGGACTCCCCTTCGATCTCGCCGAGTATGGACCTCGCCGCCAGAGTGTGGACGAGCGTCCCCGCCAGGGCTTCCTCCCGGACGACGGGGAAGGCGATGGACAAGGGACCGGCCGGAGAGTCTGCAGACGCCGTGATCGAACCGGGGATCGCCGAGGGAGCGTCGTAGATGCAATACGCGGAGAAGGAAGTGCCATCGAAGACGCAGGGCAGATCCTTCGCGCCGATCCACGATTCCTTCCCTTCGCGATCGTCGCCTTCTTCGACTTGCCTCGGCGGTGCAGACGAAGCGGAATCGTCGGGAGAAGCCCAAGTTATCTCGACCGAGGAAAGTGCGGGTCTCATCGCGTTCTTCAGCAGTTCCTGCACTTGATCGCGGAGGCTCTCCTTTTGGCTTGCAAAAAGAGCTTGCCCTTTCCCTGCCTTTGCGATCCCGTTCACGAGGCGACGACTCGCGTCGTTTCCGAGCCCTAATGCGAAAACTCTCGTTTCGTGCTCGTTCTTACAATTTTTGCTCACCAGTGAGACGACTTTCTCCGCACCGTCGCTCGCTTCCCCGTCGGTCAGGACGACGATCTGTCGACTGCGATCGCGGAGGAACGGCTGGTGGAACACGGTGGAGAGCGGCTCGTACGCGTCCGTGTCCCCGTGGTCTGCCTGCATTTCTTCGACGAGGGCGATCGCCTTCTTCAGGTTCCTTTCGTCGCACTCCTTGCTTCGATCCCACAGGGACGTGGACCTGAAACCGAAGCCGATGACGTTGAAGTACGAATCCGTCGGCAAGGATTCGAGAAAGAGTTTCAAGGCGTCTTTCGCCTTCTCCATCTTGTCCCCGGCCATGGAACAGCTCCTATCGATGACGAACAGGAATTCGCATTTGAAGGGGGGCAGCAAGAAACGCGGGACGAAGGAGATCGTGGCAGCGAACGTGCCCGCGGGGCTCCTCTCCAAGATCAATCTCGGTTCGTGACGGTGTGCCGTCTGAAGCAGGAGAACGAAATCCCTTCTCATGTGTGTGGACCTTCCGGCGAGACGCACTTTCGTCTCGAAGTGCTTGCTGCGAGAGACGTACTCGTTTTTAGCGGTGACGGTGATTTGATGAGTCGGGCTGTTGAGGGACAGTATTTGACTCATCGTATCGATGCGAACCCAGACTTCCAGAGGGCAAGGCGAGAAGAGAGAGTACTCCGTGGTCCCGACGACGCCGGCCGCCTCGCTGGAGTCACTCGGGGGAATGCACATGGGTGCGACCGTGGTCGGCAGGGAGAAGCGGAGTGCATCCCTTTCCACCGTCGCCTCGGTGACGTAGGACAGAGCGATGGAGGCGACGCTCCCGGGCGGCAAGCTCCCGAGTCGGGCCAGGAGGACGTCTGGCTTGGTGTCTTCTGTGAGGGACGCGGACCAGCCTCGTTCGACGGAGCGGCGGTAGATCTCTCGAGCTTCTTCCGTGTCCCTCGCTTCTCCCTTCACCTTTCTTCCCTCGATCTCGGCCTCGAATGCGCATATTGAGGCTCGGTCATCGATGGGGAACACGTATTGGATTTCCAGGGACCTTTACGAAAAAAGTTTTTCATTCGTGGATTTGGCTATCTTCCGATAGTTGCTCACTATGATGTCATGAAGTGCATTATGATGAATATTTACTCTTAAATTACGAAATTGAAATGGGCCTGGGAGCTTCATCGGGTTAGCTATTTCCCATTTGCATCACGTGTAGGTCCCTTCGGTATTAATATCTTGCGACATGACTTTGAAAATACTTGTACTATTGAGATGTGCCCCGAAAAAAAATATTGGGGGGAAAAAAGAACTAGTCCACCTGCAGGCGGCAGATTAAAAAAAAATTCGACGTACAGTACGCCATACAGATCATTAGCATGCAATTTGGTTGCAAGGAACTTCTACGAGTTTGTTTTGCATATCTTACTTGGTCTCGTCGTTTCTGAAAGTTTGGGCGATCGTGACGAGAACGCCTAAATCCAACCAGGTGACGTCGACCGACACTCTCGTGAGGGGGATCGGGCGGCAGCTCTCTCCCGTTCCCAAGGTCACCAGTCCGCATTCGCAGTTTTTATACGGCCCAAATGTGTTATAAAACATTTTTTTCCACTCGATGACCTGCGGGAAAAATATGGATACAGAGGACGAAAGAAAAGGAACGGCTCATGAAGCAAGATATGACATTGCTACAACGCTTCACCAGTACTATATTTAGTAAATATTTTCATCCGGAATAATATGGCTCGGAAGAACAATGGGAAAAAGTGCAATGCTGTGCTCTAAAAATATTCGGTGCACTTATTTGGAATTCGGATAAGGCCGTCACCTGCGCTCAAAGTAGACCTGCACTCTACGGGCGATCGGCTTCTTCCTTCGCGTTCATTGTTTGCAATATTTTTTCATCAAGGTAACGATTGGCCATTTGCCTCTGACATCTGCCGATTACGTGGCACCTAAGGGGAAGCCGCAGCGGTTCGAAGTTTGAGGATCGGCTTTTCCTCAAGACTTGCTGCAAGGAGAAGGAAATGCTCGTGGAGGCAGTAAATGAAGAGACGAGCATGAGTGGTAATCGTAGAGCTGCGACTCGGCTCAACTTTCATCTTATTTAGGCTGAGAGGGACTTTAAATTTTATGGCTAGAGGAGCTCGTTTCTATGGTAGGAAAGGCTTGGAAAAGCCTGGTAGGAAATGGTATTAAAATAAATGTATGAAGATGACAATGGAAACGTCATACCGGTTCTGCGACAACTTGAAAGGTTGAAACGGTTGAAGACGATTCGATTATATCCCTCGCACGTAAACAGGTGTTTCCTCCGAGTTCCCTCACTTTCCTCAATGTGACTCGCTCCGCATCAAAGCCTGAGACGAGAGCGCCGGAAGCGGAGGCAGAAGAGACAGAGGAGGCAGATGAGGCTGAAGAGACAGAGGAGGCAGATGAGACAGAGGAGGCTGAAGAGACAGCGGAGGCAGAAGAGGCGGAGGAGGCGGAGGAGGCATGCGTCTTCGATGGAGGGTCGCTGCGCGTCGAGGAAGCTCGGCCGACAGGACCGTCAAGTTCCCACCGAGGCGGAATTTCATTCTCGAATTTCGCCATCGCAGTCGTTCGCAATATTTCACACGTATCGGTGTCGGGTGCTTTAGCGAGCGGGAATGGATATTCTCAGCTCTTCTTTAAGCCTTCTCAACTCCTCCTCTACCCTTCTTTTCTCAACCGCCTCTTCACCTTCACTCGAGGCCTTATGAGCATTTTTATGCAGGACATATCGTTCCACAAATCCAGGAATCTTTCCGGCTGTTCCTTGAGGAAGGCAGAAAAGAAAAGCGATATCATAAGCCCATATTTGCTTGAATTACGGAGCGCCATCGGGAACATTCGTCCTCGTCTAGCAGCACCAAAGGTATGCGTGACACTTTGTTGCGGCCAACTCATGCTGCCCCCATACAAGATTCAATACTGTTTTTTTTTTGTTTTCTTTTTAGGTTCGACGCTAGATCATAAAAGGGGAGTCATTCCATTTGGACCTTGAGTGAGTGGAAGGCGGGTCTACACAAAGATATATCTCCAGCATGAAACTGAAAAATAGTCTTGGGCCTAATATTTGCGAAATGGCGGGAGGCCAGCGTTAGTCAGGGTCTTTACGTTATGGCCATTGTTATGGCTTACTCAAAACAAGGAGGGGCAACTGGTTTTTAACCATGTTTTGCAATCTGGTGGAGGCAGTCTCGGGAACGTTGTCTGGGGCTTAAAAACTCCCCACGCAGAACTCGACTCGATCCAGGAGGCTGATGGGATTGCCCAGTTAGGAACCTGCTGCCAGGGCCCTCAAGTGGGAACGTGAGGCCCTCAAGTGGGAACGTGAGCCCCTCAAGTGGGAACGTGAGCCCCTCAAGTGGGAACGTGAGGCCTCCAACTATCTGTATGTTAGGCGCTTGAAACTCAAGCTGGAAAGCGGCCCTCGTGCAGAATAAACGAAAAAAAAACAGACCGGGAACACAATCCCCTTTGGGTCTGGCTCTGCAATCGCACTTATCTAACTTTTTACAGAGTTGCCATGAGAGCACCTCAACGATCAGGGAGTCGAACAAAACGTTCGCCATGCAAATATTTCAAGCTCCAAATATATATCCTCCTGCGACATGGAAATTTAGCAGAGGATACAAAATCAGTGGAATTTTCTTGTTTCCGAGATTTGCAAAGCAGGTTCCCATCTCCATGGATGAACAATTAGGAAGATTAGGGTTAGGATTAGATTAGGAAGATTTGTAGATGCCCACCCTTACGGAAATGTCCTATAGGAAACCTATAGTTATTTCTTATAGATGTTTCCTTGGGTAAGGGGAGGGCACTTTTGTGCCCGTTCAGAAATGTGACAACCCAATACTTCCATCTAGTGACCTAGAGGAGAACTTCAAACGGAACCCTATAGGCCTATAGGGTTCCGGATAAGCCCTATAGGGAACCCTATAGGTCCTATAGGTCCAATAGGTCCTATAGGGTTCCGTATAGGTACTATAGGGAACCCTATAGGCCCTATAGGAAACCCTATAGGTCCTATAGCAAATCCTACAGGTCCTATAGGAACCCTATAGGTTTTATAGGGAACCCTATGGGTCCTATACAGAACCCTTTAGGTCCTATACAGAACCTTTTGGGTCATATAGGGAACCTATAGGCCTTATGGGGAACCCTATTGCTTTTATAGGGAACCCTATAGGTTCTATAGGGAACTCTATAGGTCCCAAACTGAACTCAATGGGGCATATAGGATGTTATAGGATTCCTTTAGGTTTCTATATTCCTAAGACATTTTCGTAAGGGCAGGGACTCATATTTTAGCCTGATCGTCTGGTTTCTGGTCTGCAGTCTCTCCAGGGCACGGAGATGAGTCTCGTCGACCATAAGGGAAGGATCTGGAGAGGAAATCGTGCCCGGCGATGCGCTGTTTTCCTCCTAGACCCTGATTAGCATTTTCCATAAAAAAGCAATCGATGAAAGAAGTAATGTGATTTATTCATGATTTTCTATACGGTAATACATTCGAATGAGGACAAACAGGATATGCGATCAGGTATGCCCGTAAAACTACGACAGGACGATGATGTACGTCAGCATGGTGCTCAGGACCTACAGAGAACAAAACTACCGAAGACTACCGCAGACTACCGAAGACTCCAATCTCCTTCCCCCCCGCTCACCACCGCGACGAGCCGCCGGGAGACGACGAAGAACCCGGCGCCGTGGAGGCCCCTGCCGCTGCGCTGCACCAAGAACGCCGTCGCGTGGAGACCTTCTTCGACGGAACCTCGTCCTTGCCTCCCTCCAGGGATTCCTCCTGACTCCCGAAGCTCTCCATCTGCAGAGAGGGAGACACAACTGCGAGCCGTGGGAAGAGGATGAGGTGGATCTCGTTTCATCACTTTCTATAGGTGATTATGCCATATTTCTATGGTTTTCTATGCGCGTGAAAATAAGAAATGAAGTTCTATTTCGTTGTTTCATGACGTACTGAAAATAAATTTCATTCATGAAAAGGAATTTAGGAATTTAAAAATTAAGAGGAAGAAGAAACGGCGAATCGACAGCGTGACATAAGAAAGAGTTTAAAGAGATAATAAATCCTTGATATGGAGCTAGGCACTGGGCACCTCCAAGGTCCCAGTTTTTTTCTCCCCGCGAGGAAAACGAAAAGTGGATACGAAAAAAGGCTGTGATGAGAAATATGAATGCGCGCAGCAGAGCTTCCAACAGTCCCAGTCGTCAAGTCTGAAGCAGACGATGGAACGTCTCCCACGGACATTAAAACCCCGCAGTTTCCATCTCTAACCGTGAATGAAATCACTCCGGCTTTATCTCGTGGAATTCGGTCGTCGCCACTGCAATCGACGGTCACTTTTGGCTGGTCAATTGCGGAAATATTCTCATGTTATATATGTTAATATATAATATATTAGGGAAATATTTTAGGGAAAAACAGCCCATTCCTTTGAATGAAGACATTTTCGTGACTACCACAGCAAAGATATTGAATCTGCATTTCAACAGTTCTCTTGGTCTTTGGTTGCATCAACTACGCATGTTAAATAACTCAGAGACCGGCGATTAAAAATGCAATAATAATCCACGAAAACAAAATTCCGATTGGAAGTTGTGCAAAATCGGTCGATGACGCGAGATTTCCTCAACAAAAAAAGGAGAGCATGACGAAACTCGCATCCACCAAGGAAACGACGAGCGATTGACTCCTGCGTGCAAATCCGACGGTCGAGAATTCCCGGTAGAAATGAATAAAATTCGCAGAAAGGGGCTCACGGCTTCGGCCGCTTCGACGCCAGGGACCGCGAGAAGAGCGGCGCTGGCGAGGATCCTGGCGACGGCAGCGAGGATCCTGGCGACGGCGGGGAGGATCCTGGCGACGGCAGCGAGGATCCTGGCGACGGCAGCGAGGATCCTGGCGACGGCGGGGAATGCCCCAAGGCACGTCCTCTCCGTCGAGAGGCCCCGGATCAGGACGTCATCAGGACGCCATCGTGAGGCCATGGGACGTGTTGTGGTGGGGGTTCTTTCCCGGTTTAGTGCTTCGGTTGATGTCGGGAGAGACTGAACCTGAATGAGGGCCTCGTCGGCCGAAATCTGGACGCGCTTTAACGATCGCTGGGTGTTTATCTCGCGCGATCGTCTCGCGCTTACGTTTCGGTGCTGAGTAGAAAAGGGCACACGTCCTCGTTCGCTAATAAAAGCATGGGACATTTTTCTCGCTCGGTACATTCTAACGTATTCCAATGAGAGTGGCACATCCGAATGCGTGAAGCTGAAGGGATTCAGCTCCGTTCTACTGGAACTTTCTGGAAACCATAATACGTATTGAATGTTGCCTGTTTTAAAAATTTCAAACGTAATGGTGACGACAGTATAACTGAAACACGCGTCTCTAAAGGCAACTTTTCCACCGCAGACCACGACGAGGGGCCGCATGAGGCAGGCCGTGACGACCGGCGAGGCCGTGACGACCGGCGGGGCCGTGACGACCGCTGACTCCACGTGGACGCGGGGCACGCTGTCGGGACCGAGAAATGGGGATTTTGCCGCGATGCGGAAATCGG